GTGTGTGTGTGTGTGTGTGTAGGCTTACAGGCAATTTGGCTAGACTCCTCCCCACCTCCAGGTCCTCACTTCCCTCCCTTCCCCCAAATGTTTTAAACCTCCATTATACCAGGTCTGTCTCATGGCATTATTTCTCAGGGGGATACCAGGTGCCCCTGCCTGCCACCACATTCTAGTTCATAACAGTGTGGATGCTGGCCAGTTTTCTCTGGCGATAAATGATTATGTCCAGGACTTGTATGCAAATTTTAACTTTTTCAGATCTATTCTGTCCAAACAATTACCTGCCCTTTACGGTAGGCTGGGGGGGGGGTAAAGAACATGTGGCTGTTCTCACTGGATGCAGGACCTTGCGAATGGAAGAATAGCTCCCCTATTGGCCTTTACTTACACCACACTTGTAGGGCAATTGATACGCTCATTTTTGAAAATTAATAGTTTCTGTGTTTGCTCACTTACTCCACTGACCCTACCACAGAGGGCAGCTGTCTATTGTCACCAGGGTGGGAACTAAAGGATAGATTCCCTATACTATCCTTCATCAGAGGATACTACTTCATCAGAGAGGAGTGAAAAGACGTCTGGGGTACCAGAAGAGGTATACAAGCTCCCTGTTGGGTTTCTGCCCACACCACCCCAGCACCACAGCCAGTCTTTATGCCCAGGGGGAGGTGCAGGGCCCTGCTCTCACTGGCTCCATTCAGGTGAAGCAGAGTCCTGACTCATAACTGCCATTGTGATTAGGTTCAAGTTCAGGCTCCCCAGTAAATTTCTACTGACCCTGGATCAGGAAATCAGAATACAGGGTTGCTGCTACCACCAAGAGAGAGACAGAATTCTAGACTCCCTTACTCATCTTCTACTGGAAATGAGCACACAGTATGGGGTGGTGGTCAGGGTCCCATGGGCTTTGGCAGAACTAGGACAGGTACTGTCAAAAGCTTTATCTCTGTAGACTACTCCTCTAGCTAAAAAGAAAAAGCTTCTTTTAGTGTTTTAGAATCTGATACTTAAGCCAGGCTTGCAATAAATGTCAGTACTTGGCACACTGAAGCAGGGGAGCCACATGTTTGAGTCCGACATGTGTGGGATACAATGCATTCCAGGTCACCCTAAGCCATGCGCTGAGAGAGACTCTGCTGACATTTCAGCACATTAGATTCTCCAGTGTCCAGACTAGAATGTGTAGGGCTAAAAGAAGATCCAAGAAAGACATCGGCATGTCATTCCTAAAGCCCCCAAATCTCTGTCCAATCTGCAACTGCTTTACCACCTTTTAGAAATTTCCACATTGCAGCTATGTTATATCTAGGTTTTAGTTATCTTTAGTGGGAACAATAGGAAACATGGGGTTGTCACAGAGTCAAAATTTCAAAAGTCATGACATTTTTTTAGTCATTAATTTTTTTTTACAAATAAATGTGTGCATGTGTGTGTATATATGTGTACATACATACATGTCATGACATATATATACGTATGTGTACATGTACACTGGCTGGTTTTGTGTGTGTAAACTTGACACAAGCTGGAATTATCACAGAGAAAGGAGCCTCCCTTGAGAAAAATGCCTCCCTGAGATCCAGCTGTAAGGCATTTTCTCAATTAGTGATCAAGGTGGATGGGCCCATTGTGGGTGATGCCATCCCTAGGATGATAGTGCTGGGTTCTATAAGTAGCTAAGCAAGCCAGGGGAAGGAAGCCAGTAAGCAGCATTCCTCCATGGCTTCTGCATCAGCTCCTGCCTCCAGGTTCCTGCCCTGTCTGAGTTTCTGTCCTGACTTCCTTTGGTGATGAACAGCAATGTGGAAGTGTAAGCTGAATAAACCCTTTTCTCCCTAATTTGCTTCTTGGTCATAATGTTTTGTGCAGGAATACAAACCCTGACTAAGACAGCATACATGTATGTAGATCAGAAGACAAACTTGCAGGACTGAACTCAGGTAATCAGGCTTAATGGCAAGCACCTTTCTACACTGAGCGAGGCATTTAGCCAGTCCTGAGACAACTTTTTTGAGAAGCAAGAAACTTTATCTAAATTAATTAAACTATCAATTCAAGAGAACTGATACCCTTTCTCCAGCAAATTTCATGTCAAATCTGAGAAACACAGAGATATGGTCAATATCTGATAGGATTGTTGTTTTTGTTTTGTTTTGGTTTTTGTGTGTGTTCAGAGTAAAAGCCTCATTGTATATTTACAAGGCATTACATAAGATGGCCTTAAAACTTAATTAGTTAAAAGTATGTAAGGATCTGTAGCCAGGAGCAGGAGACATGCTTAAAAAACAAACAAACAAACAGTCACAAATCTCTCTTAAGTTAATGTGCTTGTCTCTGAGCCAGTGCCGACAGTGAGCTGAGTCGGTCTACATCAGTTCCAAGTGAAGGCAGAAGCTCTGGGTCCCAGGGCAAAGCTAATGCCTGGACACTGATTCCAGAATCCCGCATGCTGACACTGCAAACAGCAAGGAAAGAGGCAGGCAGGCGGCTCAGTCTGGCAGGTGATTCTGTGGATCCCTTTGCAGAGGGAAACAGATGTTTTAAAACAGCAATGGAAAACTTATAATCTTTGCCTTTCCATTTTTCAAATCTTTTAAAAATTACTCATACTTTTCTATGCTAACTAAATTACAAAAAGAAAATGTCGTTTTCTGAGAAGAAAAATCCAATTGTACTTCCCCCCAAAAAAACAGAGAGAAGTAAGCTTAAGTGGGTTTTCATCCACAGAAGGTATGGAACCTAGAACAATTTCTAAGTTCCTTACAGACCCACATGATGCCCAGATCGAAGGTGACTGTGGGAAAGGCCTAAATCCCTGGCCACAGGCACCGATCTTGAACCTGGTCTCCCCTCTGCTGGGTGGCACAATTGCTTTTCCTACCGGTCTTTAGCTCCCCTGTGCATCTGTAAAGCAGAATCCCATGCATAATGACCTTTCATGCGCTGCAGTGGTCATCCTGACCCTTCCTTCTTTATTTTTAGACTTATACATTTTATTGTTTCACGAATATGAGTGTCTCTCTCCTCATATGCATGTGTGCCATGTGTGTGCCTGGTGCCCACAGAGGTCAAAAGAAGGCACTGAATCCCTTGGGACTGCAATTACAAAAGGCTGTGAGCAACTATGTGGGTGCTAGGGATCACACCAGGGTCACCTGCAAGAGTGACCAGCACTCTTCACCACTGGGCCAACTCTCCAACCCCACCCTCCCTTCTAACATGCATTCTCTCTATGATGGACATGTGACATTGGTAAGATAACTAAAGACATGAAGGCTCTGGGGGTTTGTATTGGTGTGGCTTGGTTATTTGCCACAGTCTCTATACAGCCCAAGTGGGCCTGGAAATTTATTATGTAGACCTGGAGAGCCTAGGGCTCAAATCTTCACGATTTAGCCTCTAAATTGCCGAGATTATAACAGGGGGATTACTCCTGTAGTCAGCTTGCTTGGTACCTCATATTTCACTTATAAATATCTCCATCTTGACTGCTGCTGGTCCTAAGAATCCAGAAGTGTTTTCAGATACAAGAGGTCCTTGCTGACTTCTAAGTCAAGTTCTACTGATCAATATATTGACTTTTTGACATCTGAGAAGATGGACATTCTGAATTAGTTTTGTTAGATGGTATTAAAAGGGTAACAGCTGGCAGCCTCATTGAGTTCTGAGGATAAATATTATTAGGTAACATATATAAAAACTCCAACGTCATAACCTTTTGCCTCAGCCCCGAGTATTGAGATGACAGGTGTGTGTCATCACATGTGGCTTTAACACGTATTAAAAAGGTCAGCACTAGCCCCACTCTAAAGGTTCATTAGTCTCAGAAACTCTTCTCAAGAATCTAAATGATTCCTAGGACCCACATGGTAGAAAGAGAAAACAGTCCTCATAAAGTATTCTCTATCTGTGCACCGTAGCATGCACCACACATAACCCTATAACATAAATACGTAAGTATAGTTTAGAACACATTTAAATCTGAAGGACCATTTTGAACTAACATATAAACTTCCAAGAACCTAATGCTGCCCTTTTAAGATTCTCCCAGTGTTCAAGGGAAAAGAGCAAAAAGGCAGTGCTGGGCAAGAGGGACTGGGAGAAGACAAGAGGGAAGGAGAACCTGGATTACCAAGCATCTGTCAAGATTCTTTCAGGACCACCAGGACTCAAGTGGGAATACACAGAAGTGCTTTGTGACATTCCCTGGGTATTCTGTGAACTCATGGTCCACCTCAGAGTAGTATTTCATCCTCACATGAACTGTTATCAGTGAACCCTCCCAGAAGTTAGGGCACAAATTCTTTTGCTCCCCCGCTTATACCTGAGCTTGTGCAGAGATTTCAGGCTAGGGAAACTGCAGTCATCCTCTTGACCCAAACAGATTCTATGCTTAAAAAACCAGAGGCCCACAAAAGAATACATTTGCTACATTCAGAAAAGACAAAGATTCAGGCTTCTTTCTCTCTTGTCTGCCTTATTTGAAAAAAAAATTAAGGTTTGCTTTTATTTTATGTGCATGAGAGTTTTATCTGCAAGCATGTCTGTGTATCACATGTACGCACCGCCTGCAGAGGCTAGAAGGTGGTATCAGACCTCCCAGAACTGAAGTTGAAAACAGTTGTTAGCTGTCATGTAGGTGTTGAAAACTGAACCCAGGTCATCTGCAAGAGCAGACAGTACTTTTAACCACTGAGCCATCTCTCCACTGAGCCCTATTTAAAAATTTGTATTTCATTGTTAAGTGGGCTCTGGGTAATAATCTCCTCTGTTCCACAATTCCTCCAAGCAAGCAGAATACTGGATCCTAATCTAAAACAAACATCCAAAAACCAAAAACAGAACTGCTCTGTGAAGTTTTTAAAAATAGCATAAAAAGGGTTTTAATTTGTCATAAATAGCTTCTTAAATTATTTTACAATATTACTATTCCATGCCAACTATAAAAGTTTCCAGGTACAACCTGGCAAAAACTAACTAGAAAGACCATCACATACCAATTCATCCTTTGAATTCTCCATCTCTGCCCCCTCCTTGAATTTGGCCAGTGCGCTCTTGAGGTCTTGAGATGTGTATGTATTGGTGTTGATGTCCAGCCTGTCCACAGAGAAGCTGAGAGTCAGAAGGGGTGTACTTCTCCAAGAAAGACAGTACTTATGGGTGGTGACTGGCACCCAGAGAAAGCTTGGCCAGGCCAGTTCTAACTCTTAGTGTGTTGCCAAACCTCTGCCTCAGGGCAGCCAGGATCCAACATGTTAACTGTAATTGAAGCCAAATGGGTGGGTTTTTCCCCCCATGAGTCAGAGGAAAAGGCACAGGGCAAACAGGCTGACCCTGGAAAGGCTTCTGGCCTGCTGTGGACAGAAGCACACGTCTTAGCAGAGCCCCCGAGAAGCAAAGAACTCAGACACAGGACTAAGAGGCACCCACATCTATAATCTTCAGGGAAGCAGAGCAACGGGAACCTGAGACTTCCAAAATGTTCCAGACTTGTCTTAGATAAATGAAATGAGTAGAAGCCAATGTTAGATCACAGAGGTGTATGCCAATTTAACAATGAATAGATTTGAGAGACCTAGGAGTAGAACCAACCACTACCTTCTCCAGTCATCTTCCAAGAGGATGAAGTAAAGGAACCAATGCTGTGGTCATCTCAAGAACCTGGCTCGACTGGAGAGGTCTCCTCCTACCCTTCCTGATCAGGTTCAGCCAGCATCTTAACCGGATAGAGAGCCTCTTTGGTGGAGAGAGGGTGAAGTCTCAGTTTATTCCAGTGAACAGAGGCAAGAGCATGAGCTGGCAGACAAATGGGAGTGCTGACACAGCTGACTGCAGCTCAGGTTAAGTCACACAGAGCAGGACTATTTCTCTTTTCATTCACAACTGAGACTGTATTGGTTGAGAGGCAGAGTGCACAAACATTCCAATTCCAATGCTCCCCCCCACCCCCAGGGTTTCTCAGTATAACCAGCCCTGGCTGTCCTGGACTTGCTTTGAAGACCAGGCTGGCCTTGAACCCATAGAGATTCTCCTGCCTCTGCCTCTGCCTCCCAAGTGCTGGTATTAAAGGTATTCACCACCATACCTGCTGACATTCCAGTTCTTAACACATGTGCCTAAACTCTGCAGAGCCACATGGTGGTTCTCTTTTAACTTAGTCCAGTAATGTTCCAGCCACAAACTTGGCGGGTTTTCCCTAAGACCTCACATAACAACCTAACACTCATAATCCTCAGTTCCACGGACTCACAATTTCATGCCACATACAGTATATTCAAATTTTCCATCATTCACAGAACATATCACAACTGTTATGAAAATGGACTCCCATGACCAGAGACATTACAGTTTTGAGATGGCAAGGAGCAAGGAAGGAGTGATTTTTAGTAAGTGGTTCTACTAGAAACACAAGACCATAAATAAATCTTAAGCTATTCCAGACACAAATGCATGACTAAGACTCCAAATGGATGTTTACATGCTTTATATTGTAGGATATGAAACTATCCCCTCTCTGGAATGTTAGGGTGGCCTTCTCCAGACATTCGGGCTGTACCATCACCGTCTACACGTCATCGTCGTCGTCATCCTCTTCAAGCAGCAGATGATTAGACAATGGGATGAGGTGGGATTTCCTCCTACCTTTTAAAAATGTTTCCAGAGCTGCTAAAAAACCTCTCATTTACAAAATAGCTGATCAACATCCTCTAGATTGTTCCGGAATGGAGCAGGGACCACCGATAGACATGACGCACAGCCAGTTGGGCGTGGTTTCTTTCTCTGGTTTTCACTGCCCTCTGGGTTTCCAGATCCGGCAGGCAGATCTGTAGTTTGCTGCTCAGCCACTTCAGCCTGTTTGGTCTCTGCTCCCCGATTCCCTGTACTTTTTTGCCTGATGCCTTCCCACAGCCTTTTCCCTACTTCACACCCATCTCAGCAAGGATGAGCTTGGCCAACAGCCTTGTGGAGCTGCACTGGGCACCGCCTTTGCCAAGCACTCATGCTAACCGTCTTCTTGGGCATTATGGTGGAGCAGGGTGGGAGGTGCGTGCCAAACTTAGCACAGAGCTGCGCTGCCCAGCTGCCACACAGGTGCATGGCCTAGCCTTCACCACACGGAACTGCTTAGGCGCTGGGAGAACAGGACTGAGCAGACAGAGAATGGCTGCCGCCCTACTCTATTCCACGTTCCATCAGGTCTCAACCTTTATTAGACAGATGTGTGTTCAAGGCTCTCCTCATTCAGCTTTGGTTCACCATAGAGTCTTTAGGGCTCCGAAGTCAACACTCATTTTCTCTAAATCTTAGTCTCTAACTGATTTATTATAGCTAACCACTCCCACTTGAGCACTAACTCATGTGTCAGCAGGGGGCTACTGCTTTTAAAGTGTATCTTGTTCAAATGATTAGTAAGAGAGAGATTAGGTTCTCTCCCCACTGCCAAGCACATGAAGATAACACTGCTCTGTCCCCATCCATGGGGAACTAAAAATTCTGGAGCTGTAGGAGGAACAGATTCTTCACTTCCTCTTCCTCTTCTTTTTCCTCCTCCTCCTCCTCTTCCTCCTCTTCTTCCTCCTCTTCTACTTATCAAGAAAAAAACCATTTTGACTTGCATAAAATTCTTGCCCAGCACATGAGAGGCCAAGGTCAACCTTGTCTACATTGCAAGTTCCAGATCAGGCAAAACAAAAGACAGGGTGCCACACTATGAAACTCTGGCTAGCCTGGAACGTTGTAATTAGACAAGGCTGGCCTCTAAGCTGGACTTGAAGCAATCCTTGCGTCTTTGCCTCCCGAGGGCTGTCTTTTTCATTAGTCTTTTCCTGTTTACATCGCCATTCGATCTAATGTTGATTCTGTTCTTACTAGGGTGTTAATACTGTTCTGTTTTTGTTATTTCTTTGGGGGTAGAGGGACAAGGTCTCATATCCCAAGCTGGGCTCAAACATACCATGAAGCCCCGAGTATGATCCTGAACTTCTAATCCTCTTGGGTTTATGTTGTACTAGTGATGGCCCCACAACTTCATGCATACAGGCAAGCGCCCTACCAACTGAGCTACATTCCCAAGCCCCACAGCTGTCCAACGTTGCTCATTATAGTTAGTTACCAATTGCTGATAATCAAACCTTTATGCTCTTCCAACACCCAGCAGCATGCGCACAGTCTACCCTCCCCTCCTCTACCTCTCCTGGCTATTTTCTATTCTCATCTGACTCCTCATTCCTACTCATTTCTTTAATGATCCCTCATCTCCTACCTGAACCCTACATGCTGGAATGCCTCATAGTTAGGTCCTGAACAGCCTTCTTTTTTTCTCTCTCTAGAGACATTAAAACATTTCTCTAGCAGTGATGCCCACACTAAAAGCTTTTAGCTCAAACCCTCCCCTCAAACAGCAGGATCTTATGCAATGACCTGCTAGGGTTAATCTTGATTTTCACGATTAATTTTAAACTTGATTTCATGAAGAAATACCTAGGGGATTTATAAAGCATATCTCTGAGTGTATCTGCAAAGGAATTTCTAGTGGCAATTAGATCAGGAGGGCCTGCCCTATGGGCTTAAGTTCTTGATGGATTCATAATACAGTGGCATTTGGGAGAGGTGATGGGAGATAGAAGGTAGGTCCTAGTTCAATTCTTGATTTCTCTCAGTGTTTGCTCACAGCAACACTGGGAAATTGACTAGTGTATTAACTTTCCTTCTCTGGTCTCTGATGTTTTTGCTAAAAACAACAAACTATTTACTTTTAGTACAGGTTTGGTATGTGGCATATATGTGGCAGTTAGCGGACAATTTCAGGGGTTCTCTGGTTCTGTCTTTCCATCATGAAAGCCCTGAGGTTAAAATTCAGGTTTTCAGACTTGGTAGGAAGTGCCTTTACCATCTGAGCTAGCCAACTAGCCCATCCAAGTGAGTCTCAAATGTTTAAGACATACCTCAAATCTATTTAATAAACACATCATGATATTTAATAAAAACATTCATGATATTTATCTCTAAAAAAAAATTGGCCCAACTGCTACATTTCTATTTCAAAAAAATATCACCTCTGAGCACCCAGAAGCTCAATCCCAAATGAGGCCTTTCTAAATCTTCATGTCCTTCTGTCTCTATACCCAACTCCTCAGCCAGTCCTTTCAGCTGCACTTCTAAACTATCTAAATTCCCCACCTCCAGCAGGAAACCCTGGATCTGGTCACCACTGTGTCTTGTCTGGTCTACTGAAACGGCATGCTGGTGGTTTCTGCTTCTTCTTTCCCTATTTTCAGTCTCTTATCCAGTTACTCTCTTGCCTAAAATGTTCTGGTACGTTCTACTACAATTAAAGGTGAATGGAGACTTTCCAGAATGTTCCCTAATGCTCCACCCACTGCACCACCCGACACATATCTACCTCTCCATTCTCATCTCCTATGTCTCGAATCATTTCCCCGTTTCAAAAACCTGGCAAACCTGGGGTTCATTTTGTGCCATCTGCCTGAAATACTATATAATTCCTAGACTTACAAACCTAATCTTTGTAAGATTTAAACTCTCTTTAGCTTTCAGTTCAAATATGTTGATGAGGCCTTTCTTCCCAAATCACCCTAACATGGTCTCCTGCAGAGACTCATTACCTTGGCTCATTTCTTCCCTAGAACTTATTATAATTTGTAATGATCTTACTCATATGTGTATTTTCTTGGTTGTCTGCCCGCCGACCTGCACAAGGCCTCTACTCACCTTATGGAGGTGACACTCCATCTGCTTCTTACTGTTTCCCCAGTGCCTGCCACACAGGCATTCAATAGGTCTTGTGAAGTGAACAGTATAGCAGGAAACAGGTTGTCAGGGGCACCACTCTTTACCACTGCACCATACATAGCATGGCAAATGCCCGACCCAAGATGGTACAATTCAGATGCAGTAAAGGTTGTCTTCCTTCCTCTAACATAGAAGGAGGTTTCAAAGAAGATTCCAAAGCAAAGAGATGTTTGTTCTATGAATCTGACAGGATGTAAAAATAAAACTTTTATGTTTTTTATGCCTAAAAATATGCTTGAAGCCAGGCAGTGCCAAGAGCACTCTCTGAGACAACCCTAAGGCAAGGTCTCTGCACAGTCCTAGAGCCCACAGCATCGCAGATCTAAGTAGCAACCTAGCCAGCAGGACTAGTGGAAAGCCTTGGCTCCGTCTCTCTCTAGCACAGTGGTTTACTGACTCACCTGAAACCTGATCGAAAGCTGCAAGCCTTGTCTTCCAAAGCACACCATCAGATAACCAAAATAACTGTGCTTCTCTCTAGATCCTGGCTCTTAAGACTGTTCCCAAGCCATTTGGGAAGAGCTAGGAAGATATTGTGAAGTAGAACTGGAGGAGAATAGGAGGAGGCTCTGACAGAAAACAGCTGAGAGAGCAGAAATGTCCCGTATATCCTAGAGACCATTCTAGGGCAAATGCTCAGAGACAGTCCAAAGGAGAAAAGAGGAAACGTGGGAACAAGTGTGTCTCCTTATGGTGTCTCTACATCCCACATGGAAGACTTCTGCTCTCAAAGGAGCAAGGACAGTCCAGTTAGCGTTCCCACTACAGACCTGCAGTCAGCAGGGTAGAGATGGTGTCGAAAACAACAAACCAACAGCTCTAGATTATTCAAGTTCCTAGGTCAATATTCTTAAGACACTGGAGGTTGGCTTTTTCATTAAAAAATAAGAATTGGACTGCATGTGAGAGAAGGGTTCAAAGTACCCTGACTTGCTGACATATATGTACATGATGCCTCCTGGAGGTGGGAAAAGGTTAGCACGGCTGAAGAATGGTATCTGATTATTCTTGTGTGATTGTGAGACAGGAACAATTGTATGATTTGGGCTACTGCGAGTACAAGCCTAAAACAGAGATGGGGAGGAGGAAAGAATGTGCTCAGCTTGAGATGACAACAAACGTCTCCATCATAACATAAATTACAATTTTCTAACTGTAAAAACTGCCCAAACCTGCCATGCTGCTTTGTGGGGTGAACGCCACTTGGCTGAATGGCACATGACCTTTGGTCAGGTGCATCAAGAAAACGGGTCTAGAAATCCTTGCCAACCATGTCAAGGTTCCTTCCCTCTCATTCAGGAGACACCAAGCAAGAAAAACTTGTTAACTCAAGGCAATTAAGAGGAAAAATAGAAACTGTTAATTCTCTAAAATCAAATCCCTCAAACTGGTTATTAAAAAGTTAGGAAACCTATAACCATGGGGGATTGTAGTAGCTTCGACTCACATACCACAAGAGAGCCTATTTTAACACTGACTAACAAGAGGAAAAGTTAGTCTGAATTAAAGACTTTTAAAGGCAATTTTATTGTTCACCAAGGAAGTATTGCTGCAAAGTAGAAGGCCTAACAGGCTTGTTTTAATGAATAGATGACTCATCTGTAATCAGCACATTAATTGTTGGGATTCAAATGGGTGCTCTTAAAGTACTGGGAAACAGCTTCTCTTTCAAAGAAGGTTAAGCATTCCCCCTATAGCGTTTTTAAAAGGATCTATTTTCTTTGCAAGATATTTCTTTCCAAAGATTGTGGAGGTAAATGTCTATAAAATCCTGACAATTTTATCACAAATTCTACACTGTTAAATCTCAAATAAAAATTATAATGCACATAGCTGGTCATGGTAACACATGTATTTATTCTCAGCACTTGGTAGACAAAGGCATATCTTTGAGATTGAGACCAGCCTGGTCTATAGAGTGCGTCCCAGGACAGCCAGGGCTACATAGAGAAACCCTGTTCCCCAAAAAACAAACAAACAGAAACTTGCCACTCATGAATTTGGGTAGCATTGCTAGTATTTCTAAATCAGTGTAGTCACTCAGCCTCCCAGTCCAAAGAGCAATACACTACCTTCTGCCTCTTTTAAATCCTTTCAAATTATTTTGGGATTTGTCTTCTTGTTGGAGTTTCACCTCATTTACTCCAGTCTGTAGGTTCATTCGCACATGGGATCCTGCAGGAACAGCCTGACCTGAAAGGCAAGAAGAGAAAAGTTGCATGGGGTACAGGAGCCTCGGTGGGACACGGGGTAGAATACCTGGCACTTCCTGAAGCTCAGAGTACCATGTCCAGTTTACCTTTTGATCTCTCTCTCTCTCTCTCTCTCTCTCTCTCTGTCTCTCTCTTTCTCTCTCTCTCTCTCTCTCTCTCTCCTCCCTCCCATACTCTATTCACACTGATTCCTTTTACTGTTATATCAGAATCAAAGACCCAAGGCAGGTAGTCAAAGGACCCACAATCTCAAAATCAACATCTGCTTATTAGAATGTGATCATGTCTACTTTGTATCTTCTGTGAATTTAGCAAATAAGCTGTGTTGTTATATGCACTGGGTAAATGGTGTGTAACCCCTCAACTAACCATCAAGACATTGAGACATTATTGTCTTTTTCTTTAACACCCTTCTTGCCCCTTCCTAGACAGTCCCACAGCATCCAAGATATTCCAGAATGCTAGAGAGCTTTGTAGCTCATCACTCTCATTTTTAAAACCAGGCTCTTTTTCATCTCTTTTCCCTGATCACATGAACTGTATGTCTTCGTTTTGGAGTTCTGCAGCCTGTAAGGTAGAGTTTGGTACAGAAAATATGTAGCCAATAACACTTATGAATAAGAAAAAGGAAGCCAAGGTGAATGGTGGTGCATGTGTTTAGTCCCAGAACTTGAGAGGCAGATGAAGGGAGATCTCCTAGTTCAAGACCAGCTAGTTGGGTCCAGGGCCACACAGAGAAGCCCTGTCTCAAAAAAAAAGGGGGGGGGTAAATGAAAATAATAAATAAATAAATAGGTTGCTACTGGAAAACAGCAAGACACAAAAAGTCAAGGAAGCAGGTAGCAGAGTTAAGAGAAACTGAAAAACTACACCCACTTATATCAGAGGGACAGATCCATTAGCTGGAGAAACAAGTATTGTGAATAGATGGGCTATGTGTATGAATGCTCAAAAGTACTCAGGGATAGTTTACAACCAACTATGCAATATCATATAGTATAAATGGAATGTTATATTCACTCATTCAATCATTCACAGAAAATGCATTTACCAGGCAACTATTATACAACAGATCCACATGGCAGCTTCTAGGAATACAAAAATAATATTTTCGAGGCATAAGAAAATGATTTTTAAAAACTATATATTTAGGTTCTCACCATGTAACCAGGCCGGCCTTGAACTCTTGATCCTCTTGCTTAGGCCTCCTAAGTGCTAGGATTACAGAGTACTCTACCATAAGATCCCACACAAAGATGAATATCAATGGCTACAGGATTGAAGAAGGAGCTTTTTAGAAGCTGGAAATTTTTGAAGCAAAAATGATCCTTCTAAAACTGGGAGTGGTGGGCACACATCTCTAATCCTGGCATTCAGGAGGTAGAAGCACAAGATGAATGAGAACTTTTCTGAAAGACTGACAGACAGACAGACAGCAGACAGTCCCCATACTTGGACTTTGCCTCTGCTTTCTCTGTCAGAGGATAGCCTGCAGGTTGGTGCTGAGTTTCATTCAAGAACATAAAATGGAAAACAGGCATGGCAGTAATGCCAGTAATACCAACACTCAGAGCCTGAGGCAGGAGGATTTGGAGTTTGAGGATAGCCTGGCTATGCAGTGAGTATGAGGACACCGGGAGTAACACAGTGAGACCTTTAAATAAGAAATGACAATTTAAGAAAAAAATCCCTTATAAGAAAAAAGCATAGTACAAGCTCTCTCAGGATGAGCACATGTACCCATAGAACAGTGCTGTTCCAGCAAGAGCCGAAGCTTTCTCGGCACTAGCGCAACTACGGTAGATTCTGAGTTACTCTAGCCACTCTGCCTCCAGCCAAGGCACTAGGGAAACACCACCCTGGGATATGCCATCTCCTGCCTGCCACTCCACTGCAGCAAGAAGTGACTGCAGCTTTGGCTGAAATACACAGAAACTACAGTAAGTCTAATGATAACTTGACAAAAGTATGCTCAAGTCAGAGGAGGGAAACCCTTTCCCAGAGGAGCTTTTGAGTAAACTTTGGCTGAGATCCACACTGGGGAAAAGGAATCCTAAATGAAGGAATCCCATGTGCAAAGGCTTTGTCACAGAAACAGTGCTGTGGTCAAGGGACAGGCTGGACCCATAGGACTGGTAAGGCTGTGGGGCTCCTGTGCTGCTGCTCTGTCATGAGGCCTGGTTTCTTTTCCTGGGACAAAGAGTTAAAACTGAGTTAAGAGTGACCCCAGTACTTGTGAGGTGGGGGCAGGAAAACTGCCACAGTCCCAGGCTAGCCCAGGCTTCATGGTGAGTTCCAGACCAGTATAGGTTGCCGAGTAAGACTGTCACAATAAAAATAAAAACAAACAAAAATCCTAATGACCTAAGATAGTACCAATGAGGGGAAGGCTATATTCTGGCAAAAATAGAGAAGAAAGGTAATTCGTTAGTATTCCCTCTGAACATAGATGGGAGAGGCTACTTTACCCAAAGAGATCTCAGACTAACAAAACAAACAGCACAACCCCTTCTAGATGTATACTACAGAGATTTGAAACTCACAAAATAGTACAGTTTATTCTCAGCTGTACACAACCCAGACCACCCTGAATTTGCATCTCTCTCTCTCCTCTCTCTCTTCTCTCT